TTTGGCCGGGACCAGCATTTTCCATTACCAGAGAAGCTGATGAATTACATGGCTTTGAAAAGCATTTCATTCCCGTTTTTATGAGTTTATGAGGCATGTTGGGGGAAGGTATCAGACTGTTTTCACAGAAGATAATGTGGAAAAGGTGTGTGTGTGGGGGAGAACCGTCATCTTTTGATGCTGTAACCAACTTCTGTCAGGGAGATGAGGGTGCCACAAGGAACATCGGGCCTTTGGAAGACTGACCTTGCTCTCATGGAATCTGGCAGCATCTAGCAGCATCTACAGTCACCCCTCCACTGTCATTTCTGCAGTTCTGTCATTATGGATGTGATCTCTCTCTCGGTTCTTGCCAGCAGGACCATGGCAGAGATCCTTGCCACCACCACCTGGGTCTGAAAGGTGCTCAGAGCTCTTCTGCAGCCCAAGTCCTCCTGGAGATCTTTCCCAGAGTCAGACAGCTGGATGGCTGCAAATGGCTCCAGATGGCACACAGTAAGCTGCAAATGACCCAGTTGAATACTGCAGGCAAAGCAATGCAGAGAAAACAGCTACTGAGGTTGCAGAGGAAAAAAATCCACCTGAGAAGCAATGAAATTGGCTTGCCTTTGCTAAATGTCTTCCCACCTTTCTTTTGGTGAATCTGGGTCAGAGCGGGAAGCATGTGGCATTCCGGACAATGTCAGATTACAGTTTCCATTAATGGCCATGCAGGACACGCTGCTGAGAGCTGGGGTCCAGCAACATCTGGATTATTGTAGGTTTCCCATTTCTCATCAGGAAGGTTGGAGGGGTCATTTTCTTCAGGGGTTTACACAGGCTATGCAACAACTACACGAAGGGCAAAAAACAAGAGGCGCTCGTCACTGCACCTTCGACTTAATTTTTGACTGCAATCCTATGTTTGCTTTCCTGGGAGGAATCCCCACTGAATATAGAGAAACTGTACTTGGAGAGCTTTCTAGCCTGGATGCTCTGCACCCCAAGACCAGTGAGGAGGCCTGGAGAGTGCTGAGGAAGTGGGCCAACACACCTGCTGCAAGGTGTACTTTTCATGCAATCCTTGCAGCCTCAGGTGAGCTCATGAGGGGAGTTACTGTCTTGGCAATCCAGCAGCTTCCTGAGGCTTGAGGGGATTTCCCATGCCAGGTGTTTTGCCTTTTACACAGGTATTCTTCACTGTATGTTTTTAAGCTGCTTGTAATTTTTAATGTTTCCTTGATAAGATGTCATGGTATTTTTATTGTATTGTTTTTATGGAGCATTGTCAATCACCCCGAGAGCTTTAGCTATGGGACAGTATAAAAATGAAAATTATTGATGATAATTTATAAAGGGCAAAATGAGTAAAATATTTCTGAAGTGATAACACACATAATAACAATACTGCGACAAATAAATGATATTATATTATTATAGGAAGAGGAGGAGAAGGGTTCTGTCGCTGGCATCATTTTAAAAGAGGGTGGGAGAAAGATGAAAGAAGGACGAGTTTGCGACCCATCTTGGCCATCACTGCAAGGACATGGGGAGGCACTTCTTCCCACTGCTGTAGCATGTGAAATCTTGGCGAGTGGCGGAAGGAAAGGCCAGGGCCTTTCAGACGTGGAGGGAATGCAGTGCTGGCTCTTCCCGGACCAACTTGATGGTGAGGGAGTTGAGCCAGGGGCACTGGAACAGGAATGGTGTGTCCTGGTCCTGTGTGTGATGCAGAGAGACCACAGAGAAGTTGCTTCCTGGTGCTACCCAATCTTTATCTGGATAGACCTTTCCACATAGTTCTCTCTCCACCCCCAGCCTCCATTCAAGCCCCTTCTCATTACTTCCCAACTTCGCCATCATCTTCCTCTCCCTTCCATAGCCCCTTGCTTTACCCTCTCTCTCCGACTCACCCATTTAGTCTTCTGTTTCTCTCCCCTCCGCTTCTTCTCACACCCCAATTCCATCAGGTCTAGTATCGCTCCGTCCATTCCCGGAACCTTTTCGGGAATCACACCACTGCTGAGCAGGGTCCCACTGCACTCATGTCCTCCTTGCGTTTCCCACAGGCAGCTGAATCATCACTGTATGAACCGTTTGCTGGACTAGATGGATCCTTGGTCTGATCCATTGCAGGAATAGGAAGCTCCCTATACTAAGCCAGACCTTGGGTCCTTCTAGACGGACGCTGACTAGAAGCAGTCCTCCAAGGTTTCAGGCAGGATTCTTTCCTAGCCTGACCTGGAGATATCCAGGACTATCTGCATGCAAACATGTGATTTACCACTGATCTACAGTGCTGTGTTCTTATACATATATGGCCTGACAGTCCTTCCTGGCTTTTGTGAAGTATATGGATTTCTCTTGGGTTCCAAGGCCAATTTACAAACCACACAAAAATCAATGCCAGCTGACCCTTTGAATTCAGGAGGAAAAATACACATGAAAGCACAAGAGCCAGCTGAGAAAGCCAAAACATGGAAAACAAGGCTTTTGAAGGGCAGATTATCTGGATATTTGCTCTCCAACAACAGCTCCTCAAAGACAGGACACCTGGCAGGTTTCTAAGCCTTGCAAAGTGCTCCCCCTGTGGGTCCTGCAACACAAATTTGTAGAATTCCTGCCTTGGCTTGAGAAGAGGGTTCTGTCATTCAGCACACTCCATGAATGGTCTGTTCATTCACCTATCAGCAAGACAGACATACTGAATCCTGGCATGTACACTGAGCGAATGGCCCGTCCTAGAAAGATGAGCTGCTTGCACAGGAAACACCATTCAAGCACGGTTGTTAGTAGGGGAAGCCAGATTCCAAAGCAACTTTTTGACTGGGGATGCATAAGTATTAGATGAGCATTACTTGTGGTATCACCCACTACTACTGTTAAATTGTAAGTTTTACTGATAGTGCATGTGTCCATCTCCACAGCCATTTTTCCAGTGCAGGGGAAAGTCTTTGACCACGAAAAAGTGATGTGATTTAAAAGACCAGGCAAATATAGCTCCTTCCCGTAACTATGGTTGAGAGAGTTTACACAGGCTGTAGTGTTGCATGCACTCTTTCTCCAACTTACATGGGAACTCCTCACAGACTTTAACCATGGTTATGTAAGCACAAACCTCAACCAATGTGTTTACAGTTCATTCAAAGAATATTAGCAAAGTTATTGCTAAAGTCTGCTAAAGTTATGCGAAGTTATTGCTAAAGTCTGCAATTACCTATTTCAAAATTTAAAAACTGGATGTATTGCAAACTGAACACCATTTTGCTTAGAACACTTTTTCCAGGTCAGAATATGGAATGTCATCCGTATATAGTCACCATTCAGAAAACCAAGTGCCTAGAGCCAGTTGCTTTGTTGATATACGTGAATAAATTCTTCAAGTGGCAGCCCCTTATTCTTGACAAAACATCCCAGTTTCTGCTGTGAACCATGTGGCCCTTAAAAGCAGCAACTTGACCACTTGAGCAGCCTCACATGGACCTTCCCTTGGTAATTCCTCACAAATGTTCTATGCAGTTGTCATCTGTCCAGATCTAACCCCACCGCCAGCCCCAAGCTCATGGCCTTGCTTGGATTGGTGGGGCGTCCAGTTCACTTTCCAAGTAGCTGGTCCTGGAAACACCTGCTCGGTCATGTGCTCTACAGCCAAAGAAGCATGCATGTTGCAGAAGTACGAGCTAAGACAGGGTGCCTGCCGAGAAAACTATCTGGCTGACACTGCAAATTCCAGTTTCAGATGATAATCGTGGTCAAACAACTAATTATTAGCTTAGGTGTCAGGGCATGTGAGCCCACAGTATTACAGAAATAGCATCATGACAGCATCCACCATGACACTACGCACTGACAATAAATCTGGCTACAAGCAGAGATAGCTTTACCATGCTGTACAGTCCCTTGAGGGTGGCATTAAAGGAGGTAGATGGGAAGATCCGGTCCAGATACTTCAATTGGTGCAGAATAGAGCTGCCAGGTTGCTGATGGGGACTGGGCGTTCTTCTCATATAACCCCAGTTCTCTGTCAGTTTCACTGGCTCCCAATTGAAGTCTGGACCCAATTCAAGGTGTTGGTTATGACCTATAAAGCCCTAAATGGCTTGGGACCTGGATATCTAAAGAAACGCTTGTGTCCATATATGCCCTCCCATCCCTTGAGATCGGCAACAGATGCCCTTCTCCGGGAACCCTCCGTGAATATTAGGAGGGTGAGTACCTGGAGGAGAGCCTTCTCTGTGGTGATGCCCCACCTATGGAATGCGCTCCCCAGAGAGATCTGCCTGGCGCCATCGTTATGTTTTTCGGCACCAGGCTAAGACCTTTTTAAAACTTATTTTAATTGTTAATTATGTATTTATAGGATGTTACCGGGCTTTTTAATTTTTAATTGTATTGTTATTTATATGTTTTAATTATGTTGTGAGCCGCCCCGAGGCTTTGTTACGATGGGGGCGGCATAGAAATGTTAGTTAGTTAGTTAGTTAGTTAGTTAGTTAGTTAGTTAGTTAGTTAGTTAGTGAGAAAGAAAGAAAGAAAGAAAGAAAGAAAGAAAGAAAGAAAGAAAGAAAGAAAGAAAGAAAGAAAGAAAGAGAGAGAGAGATGAGATGACAGCAGCCAAAGAAAGGTGAGAGTCTTCCTCTCAGGTTTAAAGGCAGAATCTAGCCAGAATTTCAAGAGATGCTGCTTGACACTTCGTGGCAATTTGCCATGTATTTCCGTAGGATTTTGAAGACCATAATGCTCAACAGTTTGTTTTCCAAATAACCTTCCGAATATGAATTGCTATCACTGCTGATTTTGTCAAAAGTTATCTGACAAGTTCATGGCTGAAAGGGGAATTGAAATAGGTTTCCCATTCATCACACTGACCGAGTAGAATTGGCAGTCCTTGTTAAAGTACAATAAGAAAAATACTTGTTTGAGCTCTATGTACAGATAAATTTAAGAATTACAACTCCACAGCATTTGAGAGTTTCAGTTGTGCTGGCAAAGCAAAGCTTTAAAGGAGAACCACAATGACATCTTTTACTTGAAAATTTATTGGAAAATGCAATACAAGTAGCAAGATTGAACACTTATGTCTAAATGCTACATCTACCTTCTCTTTGACTACAAAAATTCAAAATAATAGCTACATAAGCTATAAAGATTTACTTTTTTACTCTGTTCCTATTTTTTAAAAGAAGCATTCACTATTCTATACAATTCACCAGTCTTAAAAAATTTACAAAGCTCCTTCATATCAGCAATGAAATAATTTGTGATTCAATGTTTAAGAAAACAAAAACCCATAATTAAAACATAGATGTTTTATGAAAATGTTAAACCAGAGTTTTTGATCCCACCTAAACACCCCCAATGTTTATTCATTATTTTAATTGTTGGCAAGTGAAGCTGTAATTTTTTTAATCTTCCAGTCTGGTTAGTATGGATTCTCCCATGCTGCTGCCCTTCCTTCTGTACACACATTCATACATACATAGCTTCCGTTTACTATACAGTTACAACAGTTTCTGGATAATCTCATACATCAGAGAGGAAGCAATTGGGAGCATGTTGCCATCTCAGTATTATAAATACACCCTATTTCATTGATCGCATTGGTGATGGCAGCAATGGCTCCCAATAATGTTGAGAAGGCAAAAAGCCAAGTTTATTCTACACTGTCCAAGTGATGGTGGCAGGTTTGGGAGTGCAAGCAGCCTGCTGACATTCCTCCTTCACAAGTGACAGTTCCCTGCTGACTCAGACTGTTCAGGAAGATAGAGCCTTGGGTATCTTAGAACTAAGTGGTGATCACAGCACCTGTGGTAAGCTAAGTCAGCTTGGCAAGTACATTCTAAAAAGGAAATTGATTTGGGGGGTGTGCCCATGGGTACGTGTTAGTCACTTGTGGCGTATAAGCTGCCTGAAAGATAATGAAAAGCAACGCTGGCCCAACAGCTGGTTGTGAGAAGGTGATCCTTCCTGCCACCAGTAACCAGGCCAGTGACTATGAGCCCAAGCGGCAAGCAAACATTTTAATTTTTCACAAAAAAAATAATCACAAAACACAGCGCTGGCCACAGAATCGAGGTTCCTACAAAAGTCAAATTTTAGGCACAATCCTTTGGAAATTTAGACAGAAAATCCCCAGCATGGCTCAGCCAGTGTCTAGAACTTGCTGCCACAAAATTAAGCTGTGAAGTGTTTGGGCACTGTTTGGCAGCACATAGATGGCTGGAACATTCTTGAATTAAATTTCTAGTCAATGGAGGGGGATATAATACTTTGTGAAATGATTTGTGGTTCTTACTACCATTATCACAAGCAGAATGATGGGGAAATGGCAAAATAACTGACACAAATGTTGTGTAAACCACATCGATTTGCATGACTCAGATAGTAAATCATTTACATAGTTCGGCATTTTCTTGCCACAGAATTGGTTTACCTGGAGGCATATGTTTTGCATTGTCTTCCACAAAGTACACACAATCCTGAATAAACTTAAAGGAAGGCAGGAATCCTCTGTTTGACTTGAAAAGCTCAGTTTTGATTACGCAAAGTCAGGATCAAGTATTATTACTTAAGGGCACACCCTTATGCAAGTTTAGACATAAGAAATGCCTACGATGCCATACAATGCCCAAGCTAGCTAGGAAGGCCTTTCTTCTGTTTAAGTCTGTTAATATTATACACACAAAACTTTTCCCAAGATGGTTTGTGATGGATAAACGCTATAAAAACCAAGAAATAGGCAAAAAGCTAGAGTGACTCAGCTATTCACGAATTATATCTTGTCCTGTTTATATGTTTGCTTCACTGCAAGTTGCTTATTTGTCCTTCCATGTTCCAGGATTGTTTCTCAAGTTGTCTACTCATACTTGCTTCCTTCCCTGAAGATTTTGTAGGATTTTTGACATTACATTGTGTAAATACATAGCAACCACTTTAAAAAATTACATAAGCAGCTATGTATACAATTTGGGGCACGTGCAAAAGAAGCTAAAACATACAGTAAGGTGTGGATTTGGGTGAACCAAGGCTGCCTTGGCCACCAGGGGCTGATCATGATACAGTCCACAACATCCTGCTGAATCTTCCCCAGTACTCGCTTTCTCAGAGGAAATGGCAGGGGTGCGGGGGAGAACAAGGTCCCCATCCCGCACAGCAGGAATATATCTCCCAGACTGCTGCTGTCAGTCCTGGTGATATGGCTGTCAAGATGATGCATCAGTTGATGCACCAGTCCCAGATGCAAACAGCAAGCCATGTTAATGGAATTGACCTGGTACCACTCTGCTTGTTGATGCAGAACACCACCGTGATACTGTTCATCATGGCCAAAGCTTCTATTGTGTGAAGGGTCTTATTCCAGTTCTTCATGTAGAGATGGCAGACCCTTCGCTTCCGTTTCTCTTTAAAGAATGCCTGGCAATGTGGGCACATGCCATTCTCCCAAGCACAACAGGCACAAAGACTGTCTGTCAGATGGGGGCAGCCTGGCATCACCACTGGTGCGTTTACAAAAGGGAGCCTTCCATGCCATTGGAAAAAGAGGGCAGACAGGCAAGAAAATATTGGAAGTCAAGGAGAAGATACATAGGGTGGACAAAGAGGATTCCCTTCAGGGGAGCAGTTAAATGAAGGGAGATCAGGAGAGAAAATTAGCAAAGATTTGGAAACGAAGGGACCAAGAAAGACACTCAAAATATTAGAAAAAAGATGAAAACACTCTGAGATAAGAACAAGAGAGAGAGAAAGACTGAGAGAAAGTGAGAAATCCCAAGGGAAGATGGTTGATGAAAACTGAGGGAATGGTGGGAGCCACTCCCACCAAAATGCTCCCAGCTATTACACCTTCCCAACAACAGGTTTCCTGCAGGCACAGAGCCCTTACGGGTGATGCACAGAGACCACAAAGAAGAACGGAAGAGGAACTGTAGCAACAAAGGCCAAGGAAAAGGTCAGTCTGAGATGCATGCCCCTCATTATGTCAAGTCAAGCGTCTGTTTAACAAAGGATTTACCTTTCATGCAAAAATGTGTCAAGGTGGATTGTTAAACAGACCAGGACAATACCAGCTAGCTAGACATAGTACATGAAAAGGTATACCTCATATTGAGTAACAGCTGGTGGAAGGACAAGACATATTCTTAAAAAACATATTGGAAAGCAATAGTTCCATTAATAAATTTTTAAAAATAGGGCTGCACTTACACTGAGGTTTGATTACCTTCTTTAGAATATTTTTTTCAAGGCAGCTGTTTAAAACTTTTAATATCAGAGGCTAAAAAGCCGTAGAGGTACTAAGATTTGTCATTTGAGAAAGTGACACACCCAAAGCAATCTTCCACAATAAATACATATGTTAAGTGCTATGGACTAATTTTATTTATTTTTAAACGTTCATTTGTAGAATACAGGAGGATATATAATTCTCCCGAATAAGTATTATAGCCCAATTCTTCACTGCTCACTTGGAAATGAGTCCTACTGTTTCCAGCTGGGCTTTACTCCTGGCACTGGATGTCAGTCACCAGAAGGTCAGGGTGGTTAGCAGTGCCCTATTACACATTACAGCAAAGCTGATCAAGCAGGGCTTGCACTCCTATAACTCTTTCAAGTTCTAAGGAAGCTTGTACTGATTTTCTAATTAAAATGAACTTGAACTGAGGAAGAAACCTACAGCATGACCCAGGAGCTTAAAAGAAAAGTTCTAAACAGTGAGCCAGAACTTACTTTTACTGAACTCAAATCATCAATGTGTATATTTGTTGTCCTTTAACTTAAATAAGCACGAAACATTCCTTTCAGTTTCTCATATGCTAGAATCAAACCCCCCACCCATCACTGCTATTTATGTGGCATATTCAATACAATCTTACACCTTTCATAGCAGTAACATTGTTCAGAACTCTACAGGTATACATTTTCACAGAATGCTCACATGCTGCTGGAAGAAAAGATCAGGTCTGCAGTTTTCAGTGTTGCCAACAAAACCATCTGACTAAATAATGCTTAAAGGAAGCGTATCATATTAGTGAAGAGCACACTGCACCCAAATTTGGTATTCCATAATTCATAACACAAGAGGCAAAAATATGTTCAGAAAGTGAAACTTGAGTATTTCCTACCAATGATGTTTATGTGATTTGTTTGAATGTGCAATTTAAAAACAGAATAAGTGATATGGGGAATCTTTTTTTTAATCTCCCAGCATCTATTCCTGCTTTTGTCCAATTACAATTATACACACACACACACACACACACACACAGGCATACAACTTTCTCCAGTGATGATACCTTTGTAAGGTGCTGAAAACTGCAGCCAATCTATGCCCTGTCCTTTCATTCTAGTACAGCAGCAAAGCAGCGTGAGGGTCGCCATTCACAGCTGCTCTACATCCTCCATTCATTTGGATGGGATTATATAAGGAATTTTATAGGACCCCATTGAAATGAAGGGAGGAGACACAACAGCAATGTTCTCTCTGTGGACTGTGTCCAGCAACAACAATCTGCCATCGTCTCTTGCAAGGAGCAATACATGATGGAAACAAGTACAGTCACTCTCAAAACGGCCTAGTTTTTAGCAAGAATCAGTGGAAACAATTTCATGTAACTCTTACTTTGATATGTTGCCCATGTGCCAAGTTTAAACAGTGCTTTAAAAACCAGTATGATTTTAAAACTATCTTAACAAATACAAAACAAAAGCTGAACACAAACAACTGGAAAGTTGAAAAAACTATTGCAAATTACAGCCTACTTCCTAGCATTCAGGGTTCTTGCCTCTTAAACACACAGTTCTAATAGGCTTAATTTAATGGAAAACAAATAAAATCGCAGAAAAGAGATCCAGTTTTCCAATGAGAACAAAAGAGAAAACAGAAAGAATGGAGGAAGCCAAGGTGCCTTGTCACAGTTCATCTAAAAGCACTAGAATTCACAGTATCAAAGATAAAGCAACTTCCATTATTCCTGGACAACTACTGAAACACCTGTGCAAATACCACAACCTCTTTCTATGTTCAAGCATCTACTGGCTGACAAATCCACAAAAGCCAGGGAATTCGGAGGCAAAGAGGGCAGACACACCTGCACCTGGTATATCTAAAAGAGTGGTGGCTGGGAACTGTAGTTCTATTTCAGATCGGTCGTAAGAGGCATATCAGAACATTAAACAAAGTGATTTTTCTGAACTTTCTGGTAAGATGGGCTACTTTTAGGTAATTGACACGACCACACAGCAGCATGTTCAAGGGTATGTGAAAAAGCAAGCCGCTTGAGAAAGAGGAACATGAAGGGCAACTCAGTGAAAGGCAACCACTTTTGGTAAGCCCTACATGTTATTTTTGTGTGGGGCTTTGAAATCACGATACAGATCCAGAATGTGAAAAAAGGTGGTGAGAAAGGGAATGCAAAAAAGAAAAAGAAAAATGAAAACCTGTAAAAAAAATACTTTTGTACTGTGAAAAGTATGGCATATTGTCAGTCACAATATAAAAATGATAATCAAAAAAGGATTCACTGTATTAAAGAGAACCCCAAGTAAACATCAAAAAGCAGTTTCCTAGTAAGAAATGATACAACATTTGCTTGAAAGTAAATCTGGCAAATTTGAGGTCATGGTGCTCCAAGGTAGTTTCCTTGTAATTTTGCTGGTATATCTTCAGTGGCCTTTGCAGACTGAAGCAGACATTGCCTAGAAAAATAAAAGTGCATGTTAAGTTACCACATAGTAAAAACACAACATCCACTGAGACTCTATAGCTAGTGAATGGGGCAAGATGTACACGCAGAAACAAATGCATGCATACGTACTCTGCACATGTGCATTCAGTATTCAGATATGCTACATTAACAGACACAGGTGGCAATGAGGTCTGTTTCACTCTGCAAAAGGAGTATGTTACTCCTTGAGCTTGTTTCTTTTGTTCACACAATACTCAAGCACTTGAGACTGAACTGTAAATTTAAATCTGCTTGCTTTGCACGGTTTTGATAGGTGCTATACTATATTACACTCTATTTATCAATATTTTGGATTTGTTGTTAACCACTTTGGGTCCCTAAGTGCAGAAAGTTATGAGTTAAAAATGACCCATAACCTGTATTACACAAATAACATCTGTATGTCTGAAGATAGTCTTCAGTACCCTTATCAAACCATCCACATGCTGGCAAAGAGCCTCACATGTAAGGATGTGACATGGTGGGAAATTTTAGCATGCAGCATCAGGAATTGGGGATCATAGGCAGAGCCATACTAGATCAAAGGGTCCATCTAGTACAGTGGTGGCGAACCTATGGCATGTGTGCCACAGCAGGCACGCAGAGTCCACTCTGAGCCCCCTCTTTTTCAAAATCGCCCTCTTTTCAATGGAACTTTAGTGCCAAATTAGGGTTAGGGCAGTGGTGTGAACCTATGGCACGTGTGCCACAGCGAGCAGAACCCTCTCTGTCGGCACGCAAGCCAAGTCGTCCCAGCATCTCCCCAGTGGCCGAGCATCGGATAACAGCACACATAGGGGCCCTGCGCATGCTCGGAAAGGAGTAGCGGCGCCAGGCAATGACATCACGAGCCATGTCTCATTAGCCACGACTCGCCCGAGCTTTCGCATGGCTGGTCAGTGCACTGCCAAGGTTACATCTAATTTGCTTCTAGGAATAAACTATCCCCATGAACGACTAAATTTAACAAGTGATGTGCTCTGCAATACAGCAGTGCTGAAAAAGAACAGTACCTGATACACATCCTATATAGCTGGCCTTGCCACTTATTTTGCAATCTCTGTCTCCTGATGGACGACCACCTTGGTCACAGACATGTCCGGGTGCTGCTCCTTAGCTTCTTTGATGGCCTGAACAAGAACCTGAATAAAAGAGCATCAAGACCCAACTGTTTTGTTCCAGAGCAACAACATTATGTTTCCTATTATGATCTAGCACTGGCGTCTACATCCCATATGACTCAGAGTTCTGGATCAAAATTAAGACTGCTATCCTATCCTTCTTTGTACAATCAATGACCTATGTACCCATTTCAAACGTTTTGTCATATTTTATTTTGGCTCTCAAAATAAAAATTTTTCTTCAATCCCTTGTCAAGGAAGCCCTGTGAACTTTCATCAAAGGGGGGAAATTGATCTGTTTTTGACAAGGAGTTGTGATCTTTATTACTGATGAATTTTCAAATACTTTCTGAGACTCCAAAGGAATGAGTATTTGCTTCATTGATAAAAGCTCCAGGAACAAAAGGATTAAAAAATGAATCACTAAAATAAATCTTACTTGATCATGATCAATATCTGCATCACCAGTGATTACAATTCTTTTTTCAATTCGTGTTTCTGAAATTCCACCTTTCACAGTCTGTTATGAGAGAATAAACCTGAATATGAGCTTACCATTCAAAGATAACAGAAAGTTACAGAACAGCTTTAAAAAATTAAGACAAAACCATAGCTAAATATGCTCATCGTCGGCATATTTATTTATTACATTTTTCTGCTGCCCCATAGCCTGCAGGTAGCTCACAATGAAAGCAAAAACAATCAGTATAAAGGCACAAAACAAAATTAAAACTATACAGAGGGCACTACAAATAACAGCTGGGGTCAAGGAGCACCACCAAGCTATGAACCCTGTCCTTTTCTGTCCATTTATGATACATCTCTTTTTAACCCAAGATTGCGCTTCCTGGCAACTTCCTTCTCATTTTTAAAACAACACAGATCCTTTAATAGCACTTAGTTCATGTTGGGGCTCATGAGTACATTTGAAAATTTAAGAATTTTATGAGAACTACCATAAAATGGCTACCTTAAGTAGGCACAACTAGTCACAAAGGAACAATAATCTATCCAGAGGCATGTATGAGAAATTAAGATGGCAGCAACTAGAGGCTCCCACTTTACTCTGAAGCAGCTGCAGTTGTCAGTAAGAAAAGTATAAAAATATTTTGAAAATCAAAATTGGAAGGTGCCTTAGTGGACACCAATGAAGGAATCCGGAAACAAAGGGTCTTATGTGGCCTATCTCTTCAGTCAGACCCAACAAAAGCAGTGATTCACATAAATGCGGGTACCATGTGTCTTTGGGCAATGAGGTCCAGCACAATGTGTATTACTGATTATTGTGGCTTCGAAGGACTCCTGTGCCCAGATAATATTAGCTAATGGTCTCTCCCCAGAGCAGTGTCCACATCTGGCTAGACTGGTCAAGGATTAGTCCATGCCAGAATGGGAGACCATCTGGGAACTTGTATGATGGAAGAAAAATGGAGTATGAACATATTCATGAACAAATCATTCATTTTCATATGAATAGGAACACTTGCTATGAGATAGAAAACGGAGGAAAATAGGACGAAAAAGTATCAAAAAGAGGATGTGCAAGTATCTTGGGTGGTGCTTGTCCGAGCTGAAAACTCTCACAAAGTATCACTGATTCCTGTGTACTATCAGAGCACAGACAGAACAAGGAAACTCAACAACCAGTAACATCATGCTATGAAATCAAGAACCAGTCAACTCCAATGGAGTTTGCACATACTAGCAATCCTATTTGAAAGGCACCACCCAAAGACAGAAAGGAGTTAAGTATACTTGTACAATTAATTCTTTTGCCAGCAGGCAGCTTATCTGTAAGGTTACACAATTGCTAGTACTGTTTTTACCTTTGTAATCTGCGTAGTGGTGGTGCTGCTGCTGGTCTCTGAAGTGATGGTCTGAGCAGTTAGCAGAACTCCAGGGTCTAAATCTCCACTGCCATCATCAGTCTACGGCAAAGATACATTAAAGTATCAATAATCTCCTTACTCAATGAGTTGCTAACTTTAAAGAACTTTCTTCACAGAATTCATTCTGAATTAATGCGACATCTAGTACAGTTAGCACTTCTGGGATTAATACATGAGAAATAGTTCTTCTCAAAATGTTTTGAAGGTTCTCTCTCAAAGCAGTGATAATCCCACCTTTGCTGGATTTGAAGCACAGTTATATTGATAAAGAAGATGAACTGCTCTGGCCCATTTTCCCCAGGGAAAAAATGAAAGTAGAGAGCACTTTGCTGAGACAGCAAGGAAACACTTCTTAAAAAAAAAAAAGCAGCATTGTGCAGATTTTGAAAAGATCTTTGCTGTTACTGCTTAATTCTGGTGTTATTTATGTTCTAACCTTTTCTCAACTAGATTGGAAATATAACTGGCATTTGGAAACAAACAACTAGTTCAAAATGCAGATAAGAGGATGAACAGTGAGGGAATTTCTGCTTGGATGTTGACAGCCACATCATCCACCTGAGATTAGGCATTGCTACCAATATTGAGATGCACACAGCTATCACAAATAACTTTGTTTAGTAAGCAATTAGCCTGAAGTGTCTGGTGCAATCCACTGCAGCCTCTAATACCAACACCACATTTTCCCTGTTGCATGTGTCAGGAATAGGAAAAATTTCTTAAGACACAGCAGGGATCCTCAAGATTTTTGGAACAACAGGCACATTCGGAAATGGTAGAAACTGCTGTGGACACCCCCACAAAATGGCGGATGTGCTTAGTCGCATAACGGGTGCCACAGGGCCCTGGCTCAACAAAAGTGAGCTAGTATTGGTAGGGGGAGAAGTAAGAAGGCTGGAAGGGAAGGGGAAACAACAAGAAAAATGGACAGTGGAGAGACAAAGAGGAGGGCTAGATGTTAGAATGGGTGGCATTACTTTGAAAGATGCTGTAACGTTTTCCAAGAGTTTTCATAAAACTCTTTTTTAAGGAGGCAGGAAGGGGAAATCTTTGTGGGTGCCAGTGGAGGTCCCCGCAGATACCAAGTTGTGGACTGCAGGGATACAGGAGTTCTCCATGTCATTTCCACCAATCCAGGTGAGGCAGTGGCTGTACTGAACCGGTGCCTGGCCGAGGGAATGGGCTGGATGAGGGCCAATAAACTGAAGCTCAATCCAGACAAGACGGAGGTCCTGTTGGTTGGCGGACTGGGCTTCGGAGAGGGTGAAGTGACCCTTGCCCTGAACGGGGTTGCACTCCCTCCTAGGGACAAGGTCTGCAGCTTGGGAGTGCTCCTCAACCCAGAGCTTTCACTGGAAGCTCAGGTAACAGCAGTGGCGAGGAGCGCTTTCCTCCAGCTTCGGCTGATTCATCAGCTGCGCCCCTACCTGGAGAACGACTGCCTGGCGACAGTGACACATGCACTGGTGACTTCCCGTCTTGACTTCTGTAACACGCTCTACGTGGGGCTACCCTTGAAGACGGTCCGGATACTTCAGTTGGTTCAAAATAGAGCTGCCAGGCTGCTGACGGGGACTGGGCGTTATGGTCACATGACTCCAGTTCTCTGTCAGCTTCACTGGCTTCCCATTGAAGTCCGGGCCCAATTCAAGGTGTTGGTAATGACCTATAAAGCCCTAAACGGCTTGGGTCCTGGTTACCTGAAGGAGCGCTTACGTCCATATATGCCCAGCCGCCCCTTGAGATCAGCGGGAGAGGCCCTTCTCCGGGAACCCTCCGGGAAGGAAATTAGGAGGGTGGCTACTCGGAGGAGGGCTTTCTCTGCGGTGACGCCCAACTTATGGAACACGCTCCCCAGAGAGGTCCGCCTGGCGCTGTCGTTATTTGCTTTTCGGCGCCAGGCGAAAACCTTTTTATTTAAGCGGTATTTTAACTGTTAGTATTAACTGATTTTATCTGGCCAGGGCGGCTTATTTTATATTGTATTTTTTGGATTTTTAATGTTTATATTAATTTATTGTTGTAAGCCGCCCCGAGGCTTCGGCGAACGGGGCGGCATAAAAATGTTTTAATGAATAAATAAATAAATAAAAATAAATTGTCCCCATCCTCAATTTATATGAAAGTACTCTCTGTGAAAGCACATGCTCTGCTCACAATTTCACACTAACTTCTTAACCAATATGACTTGATACTTACACTGTGTTTAGGTAGCACGGTGCAGCAGTTCAATCTCATTTAGTTTAAAGACAACCCAGAAAGATGCATTAACGATCTTATGTGTGCTTAATGTTTCAAAGCATCTAAGCAACACTCAAACAATGATTCCAAAGCCTTGCATGTATGTAGTGTCCATTAAAAAAAAACACCTTCCAGGGTCACCATTATAAGATTATGAGACTCAAATATATTCAGCTAGGCATAGCTAATTACATTCTTTCAGCTATCCCTTCATCAATCTAATGCTTGTCCTGCTTTGCCACCCAAGACTGAAAGATCTGCAGCAATTTTTCTAAAATCTGTCTTTCGCCCACATTGGTGTTACTTCAACTTACTTTGAAATATTTTCTCATGTATGTATTCACTCGGGTGAGTTATTGGTAAATAACTAAAGGCTGTGTGAAACTTATTGAAGGTCTAAATGTGGTACCTTCAGAGTAACCACTAGATGGAAGTAGTTTCCAATAAAAGTCAAGGATTTCCCAAAGCAAATGCAGTCATACGACCAAAAGCTAAATTCTGAAAATCATTAATGTAAGCTCAATTAGGCCAACCCAAACATCAAAACACATGAAAATTGTTGTGATCTCCAGATCTCTTCACCAGACAAGATGTTGCCAGAAGAATTCTGAGGGGGTGGTAGATTTAAAAAAGCAAACCTGTTGGGTATCTGCATGATCACAATCTTGAGATGGTATTTCAAGAATCTCAATATATTCAAACATGATTATACTGCAATTTTCCTATCTGGCCAAAATGTTCAATTCTAAAAACAAATAACATTTTGATTTTCAGAGATTCTGTAAATCTGAACATGAGGACCCATGGTAGGACCATGGCAGGACAAAAATAGCCTTCGGAACTCCCAAGATTGCTTGCTTTTGTTAAATGTTTATTTTAAACAGTTTCTGCATTAAACATCTTGAATTCTATAAGTGCTATACAAAACATTGCACTAATTCTGCAATATCAGATATGGAATATCCTACCTGTGCAGCTTCATAAGTTATAGTCTTTGTCTCTGTGTGGACAATAGGAACTTCCTTAGTTGGAATTTCACTTTTCAGAGTGTTGGAGACATCAGAGATGGTAACGGTCTGAGTCTTCACAAGTGGTGGCTACAAAACAGTTTTTTTGAAATAGAGCACATTTACTATCATTATACTCCAACAATTATTATTATAATTCCGATACTGGTCTGATAAAAGCACAATGGACTCAATTGTTGTTTGTACTCCGAGATGCGGAAGCAGTCACTGTTAAGCTCATCTATAAAGAGGGAAATCTCAATTTGACCTCTTTACTAGTGTGTGTGTGTGTGTACACACAAAAATTATATGAATTTAAATTATACATGGGAAACCTATAAGGAAAGTGCAAAAACAAGATTTCTAGTATGAAACATGTACAGTCCACTAGCTTCTATTAAATCAGTGTCGGATCATCTCTTATGGATTGCCAAAGTTCAAGAATGATAGAAAAAACAGAAAAAGAAAAATCAGCTGTACCATCACCTGACAATCAAAAGATAAAATACCATTAGTAAAAGCACCACAAAGCTTGCCCCATTCGGTCACCATTCCCTTCACCTTTTAAAAGTCTGACAGTAGCCACCTTATAACTAGATTAAATATTCAAATATTTCAGTAGATGGTATTAAGTCAGGAACACTGAAGCAGGCAAACAAATATTATGACTGTGGTGGGGCAGTGTTTTCTGGAAAATGTATATCTGATGGATACAGATTAAGTGTTAAATATGTTACTGTAGGGGAAAAAGTAAGATTGGAGCTCTGGTCAGTATCGTCTGCAATATATTCACAACACAGAGCAAACACATTTAACGCTATGTAATAAAATGTAATGCCCTTGGGATCTCTAAACTTTCTTTTCTTTACAAATATTTGGCTCAAAGCAAAAGACAAAGTTTCCTTTAATTGTAGCACTTCTACTTTATAAATGGGTGAAAAGGAGAGGAATAGTTTTTGCAAACTGTAGGGGATTAAGTAGCCGATTAGTGTGGAGAATGATATCAAGCCATCTAAACAAAATCCTTCTTCATGGATTTGTGGCATATGCTTGCTGCAGTGTTTTGCAGATTGAGTCCAGAAAATGTAGCAGAGAGGACTGCAAAGAGATAGGTTCTGAGTTCAAAGCTTACTACCTGGAAACAGCGAATGAGGGCAGGAAATTCATTATCAACATTTGAGTTGTGACATCCTCCATTTAGCTTCCTAACTGCCTTGCTTGTTATTTTTTCTTCAACATCACAGGCTTCCTCCTCTTGCTCATGGAGGTTCAGTGGAGGTAAAACGGGGGTTACAGACATTTCCACCTCAACCTGCTTTGAATCCTTGTTCTCCTTCTCCACATCTGAGTAAAATCCCTTTTCACACCTTAGGTCTTCCTCATTCTTAACAAGAGCAGCAGCACCCTCCTCCTCCTCCTCCTGGCTGCTTATAGAAGAAGTGTCACATTTATGAGTTTGTGCTGATTCCTGCGTGGCTGACATATGGCTCTCACTACAGCCTACTGAGTGCTTTGAGACCTCCCATTCAAAGTGAGAGGCAATATTTTTCCCCTCTGCCACTGCATCTGTATCCTCTTTGAAGGGAGAGTTGCACACACTCTAAAAAGAGATGAATACACAGAGAAGGCCAGAAAGAATTAGAAATGGGAAGCACTGCATATGGAAACATAGCAAAACTAAGCACAGGTCTTATGAAAGGCCCAACATGCAATCTGTTGCAATTGATATAACAGAAGAGTAGCACTTCAAATACTTTCAAAATGTCCAGATTACAGGCAGCTCAACACACTCAAATCAACAGCATTCCATATCCTGGCAGAAGAACTTTTCTGGCCAGGGCGGAATAGCTGCATTTATTTCCGTCTTTGTCAGAGCAACCTGCCATGGTCTAACTGCCATCAAAGGCTGCAGAGACTGTGCAGCTCCTTACCACAGTAACACCTCGCACCTGGATGTCACTGGACACTCTCAACTGCTTTCCCCTTATGTCTCTGCCAGCAGGAAAAGGCTACAGTTGTTGGAGGGGAGACACTGAAAGATCACTGACAATGTTGTAAAACAGACATTGATTGGGGATTACTGTGTGCATCATGGATTTTTAAAGACTTAAACTCCTATCTCCCCTCCACAAAATTGGATGCAAACTGCAGCTATGGGGAAGCAGGGGTTAAAGATTTCCTCAGTGCCAATTTTAAATTGCTTCTCAAAGTTCTTACTAGCTGTACTAGGAAAGGAGATAGTTAACTGAGCCGGTTTTATCTTCCCACTTCCACAGCTATCATCAGTTAGGCATCAGATTTTTTTTTCCTGATTTATATCCTGCCTTTTTCCTACAAAGGGCTCAAGGCAGCTTACATCTCCTCCATCTTATCCCCACAACAACAACCCTGTGAAGTAGGTTGGGCTGAGAGTCTGTGACTGGCCCAAAATCACCCAGTTGGCTCCATGGCCGAGCGGGGACTAGAACCCAGATGGCCTGAGTTCCAGTCCCATGCTGTTAACCACTGCACCACACTGGCTCTCTGAGATTTAAATGCGAAAAACAGTACAAATGGAGGTTAGTCTCCATACACCACAACAGCTTTTCAATCTACCTAGCCTCACACTGACTTTGTCCTCACAGGTTCATGGAGCATGGCTGCGGCTTGTGCCATACCAAGACCTGCATGCACCCATAGTAGGTCCTTTTTTAAAAACAGCAAGTCCTTTGAAAATAAAATATAAAAGCAAAATCTTCAACTTGATGAACAATACACACATTCTTGCAATTCTTGTAAAGTGCGCCTGAAAAGGTTACAGAAGCCATCCTAAAAACTATGTAGAAAAATATTTGATAGTATTAATAGCACCTTAGAGAACTTCAAATATTATTTTGGAAGCAATAACTTTTACTTATGGTCAGCATTGTAATGAGTTGGGATACCCATGCACGACTCTAGGAGCCATCTTGGTTGCTGAAGTTCTCAGTATAGCAGAAATTGAGACTTAACTTTAAGGGAGATAGCATAACTGGCTGATTTAGAAGACCCAATGTCAAGAGAATATCAGACAAACAGGTTACATTCAAAAATCACACTGCAAGTTCACCGTATCACACTAGCTCATTATTTTACCATTTACAATGGTGTATGTTTGAATGTCATGCCTGATCACAGAATTGCTGCAATTGTTATAGGTCACATTAACTCTACAGTAAAAATTCAAAGGAGCTGGTACTGGGAAGTAGAGAACAATGTAAAGATGGCGTGAAACAAAGAAATCCAGATTTCCTAAAAGAAAGCAAGTGTGTCCATAGCACCTGAGATACTTTGGAAGACTGTGCCAAGCCAGAGGATTTAACCAAGGCTGGTGCTATTCTGTCTTCCATCGTGCGCCTGTTAGAAAGTTCTCAACTAGGTCTTCGTACATCTCTGCGAGCCCTCTAGCTAGAACTTGGAGAGGAATAGTAAAGAAGAAAAGACAAGAGTTAAAACATATACAACACTAGTAAACATGCACAGTCAGCCTACCCCCAAATAGCCACTGGATAAAGTAGACTGTGTGTGTGTGTGTGCATGCGCGTGTGCGTGTGCACATAATGAGGAAAAGGACAGAGAAATGGGAAACAACCTCCTATCCAAATAATGGATTACCAGCATAAAGGGCAGCTTTTTAACGGGTAGATTCTTTACATTAATTGGTAAGAATTACTGGACAAGCAAACAACAGAATTGTAAAGTGTATGTTTCCAGTGGGTGTTTATATAGCAACAGATTATAAAGCATTAATTGTCCCTGCACTCTGCCTTATTAAATAAGCAAAAGGAAAACCTAATGATAGACACTTTAACGGAGCAATAGTTAGTTGCAGACTGCTTAGATCGCAGAGGCTCTGAAGTTTTAAAAGCCCTGCCAAGCTCATGTCAACAGGATGGAAGCAAGGGAGAAGAATATTTTCAGTTTTCTTCCTTTCTCAGCCAATTGTTTATTTTTATAAATTGCCTCCCATCAAAACCTATCAGAGGAAATTGATTTATTCCAGATCCAGGAGTGGTATAGGGAAGGAGCCAGTTTGGCTTGGGAGCCACGAGAGCTATGTGTAAAAACATCCACAGGAACATCCCCTTCATGTTTCCTTTCCCCACTTTCCAGTGCTCTGGTGGAAAATTGTGAAGATTTCTGCAGGGGTTCAGTGGGAAGTATCAGAAGTTGAATATACACCCCTGAGGATATACCTCTCTCTCTTATAAAACCTATAACATCCGAGTTGTCCTCTAGGGACCACAGGGTAAAGCTTAAAGGTCATTTATTTCCTCTGAATTATTAACATCTCTAAAGAAGTGATGGTTTATTTCTGTCCTGTATAGAGGAGGTCTTCTGTTGCTTGGCACAAGCAAATGTACATACAATCCAAGTACTTGGAAAAGTTGTTTTTTAAGTATCTTATCCCTTGACTACTATTAAGTTAACCAGACCACTAAGTTCACCAATAAAATTTGCAAATACAAGGACTATAGCAATCCTGTGCACAATTCCTTGGGACAAAGTGGTACTGAAGTCAGTAAAATAGGTTTAGACTACTTAAAACTTACTTTAAAACTAAAAGACCTCACGTAGAAAACCTAGAGTCATAGGTCACTGTGTGGAAAAACTGTCCACCACTATCTTGTTTTAAATATTAATATATTGTGAGCTTTCATGCTGAAAATTTGGGTAGCCAAATGGACAGCATGATCCTATTCAGAGCTCTGATCTTTGAGCACAATCTTCTGCTTGAGCTGCAATAATTAAAGAAAGACCTTATATAGTCCAGATAGGGTAAACTGTCCAGAGGATCCCCACTGGGTTTTTGAGACCCCATTGCTACAGCTTTCAGCAGATACAAATATGTGCTGGAGCTAAAAGATGACTTTAATCATATTATGAATGTTGCACTTAGCAACATTCTAAGCAACAGGATTTAGTCTCCTCCTAACTCTGCCCCTTCCAGCAATTTCCATAGCATTAAGCCAAACCACTTTCATTGCAAGCAGTGCTACTGAAAAAATGCCAGTCTGTTTAACTGGCATTAGAAACTCAATGACCAACTTAGGATTTGAGTTTTTACTGAACTGGGCAGGGTCTCTGGGAATCTGCTAGAAAGCCGACTTCGACATTTTAATCAGCCAGAAATATCATATTGAAAGTCTTAGACAAAATCATTTCAATGGAAGGCAGATAAAATTATCTGCACTAGAAATACTTTAATAAATGTTGCTTGGGAAATTTCTACCAAAAAAAAAAAAATCTGATTGTAATGGCAGAAGTATATATATATAGTAAAATTACACCTAAAAAGCAAACAAGAGCTACAAATGGTCAGGCACATGCAAATCAATTGGAGGAGATGAAGCATGATAAGATCAGAAGGTAAGAAGAATTTATTCTTGCTACTGGTTGCACCAGCCAAAGGTCAGTTTCGTGTGAGATCATCTGCCTTTATGTGTAACAATAAATGCAAAGATTAGGTATTTTATACCAGATATTGCCAACCTCTGAAGCTTACCCCTTTATTCTGCTATATAGGGGCTCATGTATAGAGTCCAGGAAGGGTTGGGCCAGTCTTTTTTAAAAGCCTGCTCAGCAGAGTGAGGGAAAGAGGGCTTGCTATTGCATCCACAGCCAGAATTCCTAGGGGGTCACAGAAAATCTTTGGGAACCAGATAATGGACCACAAGCTCACAGTTGGGCTATCTCTTGTATACCAATCCATCCAGGTGCTTGAACTGAAATATCTGATCTTACCAAACTTAAAACAAAACAGAACTTTAAATGCTGACACTTAAAAAAAATCACCAAAATAAAATACGAATGGCCTTTTTTTTAGATGCTGCAAACACCTCTAAATGAATAGCCTCTAAGGAATCAGCCCATTACTTTTGACATATATTGGCAAAGAATACCACAGCAGTTTTGTTAAAGACACAAACCTATATAATTCACAAAGCAGAAGATGATGTAGCGTTTCCTGAGTATCTTTGCAAGCTATAGCTGAGTAATGCCAGAAGGTAATATTAGTATTAAAAAGTTATATATAAATGAGGCTCTTTGCACTCAATAGAACCCCAATGCTGCAGATAAAGAAAATGTGTATGTAAGGGCTTCCTGATTCACTCCTATTGTTGACATGTCAATGTACATGTCACTGCAGTATTTTTACACACTTTTTGTCATTGTAGTAAATGGCAAAGACCATTCTTGGCAGGCTTTTTGATGAGGAAGAAAGTGTATATAAATGTAGCACCAAAAGAAATTTAAAAATCAAATAAGGGATAAACTAATATTATATAGTACAGAAGTAGCAGGTGTTGATCCTTCTTATTGTTTAGGTACTTTAAAAGTGACATACTTGAAAGTCTGCTTTATCTAGTAACAGAAATTTCAGTTATTCCCAAGGCTGAGACTCCTCCAAAAGGAATGTCTAAAACAGAGCAGCTGCCCACGTTATACATTACTCTGTTTTATAAATTCACACAGTCATAAAATAGTCCAGCCTAATGTGAAAACTTTCTAGTTGACAGAAATTCTAATCATCTGAATTTATAATTATTTAATTGTATATAGCATTAATATTAGGTTATC